GTTGGAAGATGGACAGTTCGCGAGACGTCACATCGACCAACTCCGAAAAAGGTGGGGGGGAGCGCATGAAAACCAGCCTGACGAGGGAGGCCTACAACACCCCGATGAGGTAGACCTCCAACACCCCGGCGAGGTAGGCCTACCACACCCCAGACCGGGCAGGCCTACAACAACCCGGCGAGGTAGGCCTACGACACCCCGATGAGGTAGGCCTACCACACCCCTGCGAGGCAGAGCAGCACCACACCCGTCAAGGTCGGCCCAGCCCACTACCAGATGCTGTCACGCCGGCAGCCCAGCGAGGTAGACCGGGGCCAACCGCACGGAGGATGGCAACACCAACCCAGCCAGGTGGGCACCGGGCACAGCAAGGCCAGGGACCACCAACCCAGCCCGCAGGTAGACCGGGACCTACCCAGAGGAGGAGCAACGCACCCCACCAGTTACAGCAGCCCATGCCAGCCCAGCCGGGGAGACTGCAGTTCAAGGCGAGTAGACCGGGACCCAGCCAAGACGGGCAACCCACGACCCACGGGCGAGGGTGGCACACAACTCACCGACGTGGGGGACCCCCGCCCATCACAAGAGACAGCCAAGAAACGACACCCCGACCAGGATGGCCCCAGGCACCAACCAACGGTAGACCAGGGACTAGGGGGAAGGGGAAGCCGACAACAACCCGGCCAGGGAGACCTGCACCACCCCGGCAGGGGAGACCTCCGCCGCCCCGCGGAGGTAGCGCCGCAACAACACCCCGACCAGGTCGACCACCGCCAGCCAGACAAGGTAGACCGACGCCAACCCAACCGAGGGGACCAACGCCACCCCTGCGAGGTCGGACGGCACAACAACAACAACGAGAGCCAGCACCACCCGAACCGAGCGGAACCGCCACCCGAGCGGCAGCAAGCCGGACCGAGACCGAACCACAGCGCCCGGGAGACCAGGGAGGAGCAAGCAATGGACTTACCGAGACTCAGACGCTCTTCCCGGGTCGGAACCGAGCAGCCGAGGCGAAGCGAGAGATCCACAGGACAGGAGGAAGACCACCAGGGCCAGCGATCCAAGGTCTGCGGTCCAGCCGGAGGCGCTGGGGGTGGCCCCGCTCACTCGACAGCCGAACCGAGCCCGGTTCCGGAGAGGGAACCAGGAGACGAAAGAGCCCCGTCCTTCCAGGCCGGAGACGGAGGAGAAGTGAGACTGCGCAGGTCAGCTAGGGTGCCGAGGCGTCCGGCGTACCTGCGCGACTACGTAACGTTTGTGAATGAGATTGACATTTCGGACTAAGGGGGGAGGAGTGTTATGTCCTTATAAGGACATCCGCCCTGATTGGCCGCCAGCCATCGGGCGGGAGATTTGAATCCCTGTCAAGCAAGGGCGGTGCGTCTGCCGGGAGCGAATATAAGCAGAGCTCCGGCAGCGCGCCAGCAGTCTTGACTCGTTACTTTGTAATGAATAAAAGTTGCTTAATGTATCGAGCTGGTCCAGTCTTCTTTTCCCTGCGCCGGATCTAACACACCCCATTCAGAATCATCCCCTTCACCTATCTCCACACAAAGCTCCTTCTAGGTTGATTTTTTGCTCTGTGGCACTAAGGCCCAAGCAGTCATATCTCCCTGCTAATTCCATGGGAGAGGGGCATTCCCCTCAGGCAATTTCCTCACTTGAAGAAATAGTAGAAAAGAGATCTCCAAACTCCAAGTCCTGATTGTGACTCACAAAGGATGCTGCCCAGCTGCCCACTAAAAACAGGATATGTTGCACTGGTGGTCTCATGAGAAAGAGTCCCATTGTGTGTAATTTTAAAAATACGGTACTAAATAGCCTGGATTGCACAATAGCTAACCTCAATTTGGCCTCATAAAAGTAAGAGCTAGGGCAGGTTCAAGAAACAACCCTTGGAAATGGGTAGCATGTAGTTATTTAAAGGAAAAACCATGGCTGTGAAGAATTTTGGGACTTGTTGCTTGCTTAAAACCTGACTATAAGCTCACAGAAAGTGACATCTAACATCTGCAAATAATTGGCATAGAAAATTGGATACTGTAAATTTCTTCCCAGAACTTTTGCCCTGGTTGTTAGACCTTCATGAGTTGAAAGCTCTCCTTTTGGGAGCCACTGAGGGAATCCTTTTCTGCTGCCTCTATCAATGCCTTGCCCTTTGCATCAGAAAAATTAAAAGCACCCATCAGGTCTCCCTAATCTTATCAATTTTTAATGTTTTGCCAATAAAATATGGGTGCTACCCACATATTTTGGCAAAAAAGTGGGGGGGGGTTGAAGAAAGTTAACACCAACCCCGCTTAGAAGAAAGAAATATTCTAGCAAATATTAAAAAGGCAGAATATTGTATTTCCCTGGATGAGAAAAGGATAAACATGTTTTTAAAGACAAAGTAGCTCCCCCTACTTCAGCTCTAGGGTGATGGGATTAAGACATGGCCCTCAGGATATGATAGGATTAGCCCTCTACCCATCTAACAGCAGGGCTCACTGCATTGCAAAATCGCCTAGGGACATTACATCAGCCCACAGTTCAACCAGATTTATCTCAGACAAACTCCTAGGATTTGCACATGACCCCTACAGCAACCAATGGGATACCTGCCCTTACACAGGAACAGGAAGCTCTAAGACGGGGCCCAAAAGAGGGTTTAAATATCTCTTTCTCTCTCCTCCATGTGTTCTTCTACCCAGAATCACAAGTGCTTGGTGGTTCTGGTTCACCATTAAACCATCCTTCCAAGCAGCCTCCATGTTTCCAGTGTCTTTCTCCCCACTTGGAACTGAGCCCAGATGGACATTTCTTCCAACATTGACTAATGGCACTTATTCTAAGTAAACCTGTAACTCGTAGGTAATCATTGTTAAATCTTCACAATAAAGGCCATTTTCCATGCAAAAGATGAATAAATATATAGTAGCCCACTGGAAATTGCAGGCCTTGCATCACATCACAGGTGATTCACTGTGCATAACAGTCACTCCACAAATTTTCATTCATTTGCTAAGACTTTAACTGGCATACTGTGAAATGTATTGAGAAAATCACAGACACGCAGGAAAACATACATATAGGATCTGATATTCTGTGCAAGCCAAGCTAATAGTATCAGAAAATATAAAGCAACTAAAACATGGGAAACTGAAAAAAGTCCCCTGATTGCTTCAGTTCTAAAAATGAATTCAGTACATAATCTAAACATTTTCTGGAATATCAAGCCTGAATACTAAGTGCTTGCTGAAGGACTATATATAGATACAAAACATAGCCAAGTGAGAGAGAACCACCCACAATCATTGTCCAAAACTTTAAAAATTCAGACAAATGTGTTAGTGAATTAATTTCTGCTGCTGTTTCTTTCTCTGATTGTTTGGGAATGATTTAGTGTACCCACTGGGGGTCAAGTGGATTCTGTTTGCAGCAGATGTCACAAGAATAGAGGGAAATAAATAGGCTAAGAGCATGAACCATATAGATACAGAGGGTATATAGATACCTTAGGCCAGTGGTGAAATCCAAATTTTTTTACTACTGGTTCTGTGGGCACTGCTTGGTGGAGGTGGGGTGGCTTGGTGGGCATGGCAGGGGAAGGATACTGCAAAATCTCCACTCCCACCCCGCTCTGGGACCAGACAGAGGTGGTATTTGCCAGTTTTCTGAACTACTTAAAATTTCTGCTACCAGTTCTCCAGAACCTGTCAGAACCTGCTGGATTTCACTCCTGCCTTAGGCTCCAGCTACCTCAAACTTGTGAAGGGACCCGCTGTTAAAATGGATCAGTCTTTCACATACTGCCTGCTCTGTCCAGTGATGGTGATGATGATGATATTATTATTATTATTATTATTATTATTATTATTATTATTATTATTATTATTATTATTAATTTATTTGTCAAGAATGTATTTGGTAATAAGTATAAGCATGGATTGGATACATAAAGTAGATACAAATAGAAGAAACATTAGGACAGGGAAGGTAGGCACGCTGGTGCTCTTATGCAACCCCTTACAGACCTCTTAGGAATGGGGTGAGGTCAATAGTAGACAGTCTTAGGTTTAGTCTTAATTTTGGGGGTTTTGGGATGAAACCACAGAGTCAGGTAGTGCATTCCAGGCACTGACCACTCTGTTGCTGAAGTCATATTTTCTGCAATAGAGTCTGGAGCGGTTCACTTTAAGTTTGTATCTATTGTGTGCTCGTATTGTGGTTGAAGCTGAAGTAGTCACTGACAGGTAGGACATTGTAGCAGATAATTTTATGAGCTACGCTTAGGTCATACCGAAGGCGGTGTAGTTCTAAGTTTTCTAAGCCCAGAATTTCAAGTCTGGTGGCATAAGATATTTTGTTGCGAGCAGAGGAGGACTCTTCTTGTGAAATATTTCTGGACACGTTCAGTTGTATTAATGTCTGATATGCAGTGCGGGTTCCCGACCGATGAGCTCGAAGACCAGCCGGCCGGTGGGAAGTTTGTGCGCATGCGCAGTGGAGCTGAACTGGGGCGAAAGGGCGTGCCCTAGGTTCGCCATCACGGGTATAGGGTCTCCTGCTTGAGCAGGGGGTTGGAGTAAAAGACCTCCAAGGTCCCTTCCAATTCTGTTATTCTGTCCTGTGCATAATAGCTGCAGCTGTTGAAGAATGTTAGGAAACAGTCATCTTTAGGTGGATGGCAGTGTGTTGACTTTGGAGAGTGCCACAGTGCCTGTCAGCCAGTTGCCTTTGTGCTCGTCTGCTGCCTTCGATGTATCTGCTGGAGCTTGCCTTTATCCGTTGCATCCCCAGAGGGCTGTGTCTGGGGGTGCTAGAAAAATTCTTGGCTCCAGCCACAGATGCTCCCGGTCCCTTATCAGGGCGTGGGATCCTTTAAGGAGCCTTTGGCTGCAGCCTTGGACCATTTTCAACACTTTGGGCTGGAGGTGTCAGTGGGGCTGTGCTCATAAGGAAGGAGTCTCTCCCTTCCAAACCCCATTTTGAGCTGTGGTTTTGGTTTCCATGGTGACACTTCCTGTGGTAGAGAAAAGAGGTAGTGAATGCTGCACTGTGAGCGTGGCAAGCAGCTCCACTCCTTCTTTCTCTCCCAGCCGGGGATGCTCTGAAGGCCGGCTGCAGCCTCAGGGAGGGGCTGCTCCCAGCCTGATGGTCCTGGGTTTTAAAGTCTACCTGTGACAACAGCAGGAGAGGCATGCTGGGAAAACCCAAACATCTGGGTGTCCAAAATGGCCGAATGGTGAGTGAACGTACTTCAGCTGCTACTGGGGGAAGGCAAGGCCAGCAGCTGCAAAGGAACGTCTGGTCTTCCTGATGAAAAGGGCTCCTTCCTAAAATCTGATCCTGGCATTTGGGGGCTCTTTCCTTCAGGGGGAAGCAAAAGCTAAGCTTCTAGTGACCTTCCCTGGTTTTCATGCCTCCCCAAGCCGTAGGTAGATTGGTGAGAGAGGGATTTAGCTCGGCTCTACTGCTGCAGCGGTAGGGAGGGTGGGATGTTCTTGTGTGTGTGCTGCCTTGTGATTTTGCCCTCTTCTTTGTAAACTATTTGAGAGAGGAAGGGCTCTTTCAAAGTAAAAACTCAGCAGCTGTTGCTTTGCTCTAGCTGGGGCATGTTTTTGCATGTTGAAGAGTTGCTGCGAAATCACGGTGCCTTTCAAACTCGCCAGGTTATACTGCATAATCTGCTGTGGAAACAGAACGGGCAGGCTTGAGTCTGTTATCAGGTTGCACAACTGAGCATGACTGGCAGCCACAAACAGAAAAGGAATGAATGTAATGAAATGATTAGATGGATCGACCTCATGGAATGCAGGAGCCTCTCACTGTCAGCAAAAGCTGTTGCAGGTTATGTTGACTTGTCCAGGGACCTTGTGCAACGATCCTTCCTTTTTAGAAGGAACTTACTCTAAATTAATCTCATGAAATCAGGTTCCTACTTGGAAAATGGTATGGTATTGCCTCTGGCTTTTCTAAATAGGAAGAAGCATGAACAATAATGTCTTCATTGGGTTATCTTTACAGAAATCCTTCTGGCACAGCCCATGCACAGATTTAGTGGACTGAGGTCGAAATAAGGAGTTCTTTCATATAGTTTGTTCATGATCATTTAGCGTTCAGACAGATTCAGACCAGTTTTGGCAAGGGCAGCTTTGGGCTTCAAGGGAAGTATAACTGTTTATGTTCTAGTTTGGATTCCTTGGAACTGACAGGGGTAATCACACTAGGCCTACCTACTGCAGCCTATTTGGGCTGCAGAAATCCAGAAGACCTATCGATCTTGACAAGGAGTTAGTATTTCCTGCATTTCTTTACTATTATCTAGTGGTAATTCAAACCTTTGCAATCTAGATACTAGTCTTGTCCCATCTATGCAACTTTCATTACTCATTTTTAGAATGATTAATGTGACCAGAAATGTCTCAACAGAAATCTGACTATTAGGAGTCGTGATAACTTGTGCAAATTCTGTCAGCAGCACTAGTAACAAACCAGAATGTTTTTACCCTGGGTCAGGGGTGGGAGACTATGTCTCTAGTCTAAGTTTTGGGTAATCCTCTGCCTAATATGATTCTGTATTCCTTGTATTTCTGTTTGCCCATGTGAATACATAGACAGTGACCAGTATAAGAGGATTACTCAAAAACAAAATAAAGAAAAATCTATTGAAATAGCAGTTAAATGTTATTGTACAATACAAAAATAAAATAATATGTTATACCCAGAATGATTAAAGCATAGCAAATGAGACAGTTCACCTTAAAGCAGAGTCGTAAATTCCAATCATCAGAAGTGCCACACGAGAATTACTTCATCTGCCCAACACGGAAGCCTTTTCATACACTGATGCTAACATTTCTAGTGAGTCAAAAATTGAAGATGTAGTATCATGTATGCCATTAAAAATAAATATATTAAATTAAAAACAACTTTACCATAAAACAAATCTGCATGAGAAATAGCTGTACCATAGCACCATTTCCTTTTATCTCTTAACTAGTAGTTATTTTTCATTAATGAGAATGCCTTTGTTTGGTTTTAATATTCGGCTGTTATATAATCTGTTGTTCAAGATCAGATTATACAGTCTAAGAAAGCCATCCTAGAGCTGCCACAATCCTGCTCTTTTCCCCCCCTGCCTCCGTCTTTTTCATCTTGCCTTTTCTTGTCTGGCAGAGCCCTTTGTTCTTCCTTTGCACAAGCAGAGGGATCTTGCTTCTTTGTTCGCTGTCCTTGCCTGGCAAAAATACCCTAATGGCAGGACAGTCAGAGACAACCAGCTGCCTCTTCCTTCTCTCCCTTGGGCAACCATACCTTCCCAGCCCTTCTCTTCTGATCAAGCTCCCTACCCTACCAGGGCTCCTGCCCAGAGTCCTCACTGCCACCTTAAATGTAGCCTCTTTCATGGAGCATGAGAGCAGGTGGAGTTTCCCTGAGGATGGTGTAAGAAATGCCAACTGCATGGGCCAGCTGGGAGTCATGTGCCACTGCCATGCTCCTATGCCTGGAGTGGCTTTTCCTGTGGCCCAGCCTGGGATCTTCACAGCACCTTAGTCTTGCTTGGCAGCCTTATCAGTGTCTACAAATAAAAGATTGTCACTGGGCACAAAAAGTGATGGGAAGGTCACATAAGGCACACGGAAGTTTGGGATCCCTGCTGGAAATGATAATAAAAGGATATGCTCTGTGATGATTAGAAATGATAATCGATGGAAATATATTAAACATGCAACTGATTATGTTAATTAAAAGTTTAAGTGATGAAAAAATAAAAGATATTACATCCTAAATTGACATAATATCAATATTGGCAGCTAACATATTCCAAATCCTGACCACAACAGAAATACATTTAAAATTAAAGTCATCTCGTTTCATCTGAACGCATCCCGTAAAAGAGACCCCGTTCCCTCTCTACTTGATCTCAAACATTTTTGTAGAAAAAACAGAATAACCTCACAGTGGCTGGCATGCCAATTCTTTTATTCTGAACTTCCCCAAAGAAACCCTTGGTATCCTTTCTAAATTCAATTTATGTGGCGTCCCTGACATAAGCGCTACTATTCAGAGCTACATATTCGTAATTTTTTTTCCTGATTGGTCTCTCCTCTCCTTTTTCTTTTTCTTTTTTCCTTTGGCTTTAGCTTTTTCTACTGTCTTCAGTTCTACTATTTTTAGCTCCTTTTCCTATTAAGTTCTCTGGCCATGAGATGCTATTAAAATTCCTTTTAAAAAAAATCGATGATACACATTTGACTATACCCAGTTTTAGTTTTGTTAAAATCAGGAATTCCAGCATGAGGTGGTCACCTTCTACCTTCTTATATTTCCTTAACTAATCAAGCATTTATGATTCTCTTGTACCTTCAGAATGTAAAGGAAAAAATTGTCAACAAAACAAGTGGTGTATTTATCTCTGAAATGGATATTTTAAAAACAACCAAAGGACTAATTCCAAAGGAATGACTGATGGAGGACATTTGAAAAATTTCTCTTGTAAGGAACTAAGCACAACAAAAGCAACAGAAAAGAAACTTTCAGTAATCCTGGTACAAGTAAAGAAATAAACCAATTAAGAAATAATTAGAAATAATTTTGTAAAATTTAATTTATAATGAGGCAAATTATAGGGACGATGCTTACTCATCATCAGAAATAAAACTAACTTTCAAATAGATATTTAAAAATCAAACTACTATCTATCAATTTCCCATCAAAGAAAACTTTCTGTGGCAATTTTTCAAGCTGAGAGGAAATAAAGGAAACTATTTTTTTTGCTTTTTAGTATCATCTCAATTGTTAAAACTCTTTTTTCTTCCTCAGTTTAATTAATTTTTATATTTTAATTTAATTAGGGACAAGGAACTCTCCCAGTGCTACAGTATCTTCCAAATGTCACCCCCCCCCTCCCGCAAACCCCAGTCTTTATAGCTTTGGCAGCTCTTCATGATATTTTCCTTCAGCTATCATCTTTCTTCCATGAAATATATGCAACTGGGAAAAAAGCTGTTTATTATGATTTCTTTAAATAGGTTGTAATCAGTAGTGAAATCCAAATTTTTTTACTACCTGTTCTGTGGGCGTGGCTTGGTGGGCATGGTGTGGCTTGGTGGGCGTGGCTTGGTGGGTGTGGCAGGGGAAGGATACTGCAAAATTCCCATTCCCTCCCCACTCCAGGGGAAGGATATTGCAAAATCTCCATTCCCACCCCACTCTGGGGCCAGCCAGAGGTGGTATTTGCCGGTTTCTGAACTCAAAATTTCCGCTACCTGTTCCCCAGAACCTGTCAGAACCTGCTGGATTTCACCCCTGGTTGTAATCTGCAACATATTGCTTCACCCTTTGGCAAAACTGATATGTTCTTTCGGTAGTTGCATGCTGGGAAGAAAGCAGAACATTTTTGGAAGGAATACATAAAGAAAAAATGTAGCGCTGCCCCCCTTCACTCATACACGTATAGTTTGTTCTCAAAGAAATATAGTACGGCCCTCAAGACACAGGGTTTTTAAAATCCTTGTATTAAGCTGTGGAACTAATTCTGGCCATAGCCTGTCAAATTCTCATGGATTCTCTTTCAAATGAAAATCTCTAATATAAAAGGAAAAAAAAATGCTGCTTGTAGGAGACTTTCCAAACCATAGGTTTCCATATTAGAAATGTGTACCTAAGAGATGGAATGAGGCATAGTCAGACTGTTCTTTGAGAGAACAGATGGTCATCCTATATTTGCATCGGTATCTAGCTAACTAATATGTAAGATTATCTGATACTGGACAAGAAACTATTATATGCGTTTTGGATACCGCTATGGGTACAAAATGTGGCACCCAGACTGTTAATTCAGTTCCTTTAGGAATTGGGCCAGGATACTGTGGGAGCCAGCAGAATATGCTAATATGTGTGAGATTGATATTGATCCCAGCACTATAGGCATTTGCATGTATTATCCCCCCCCTCGTTTTCTGGTTTTTTACAATACCTACTTGGCAAACAGCCAGCCACATAAACAAAATACAATAAATAATAAATTAATAAAATAAGAAGACCAGGATATGATGGTGACGTGATGCTTACATTGATGGTTCTGCAGCAGGTGCCAATGACCTTCTGGGCACAGTTTAAGATGTTTACTTTTGTTCTTAGATAACTTGGGATCTGATTTAGTGAGGGGCCACATCTCTTGCTATGATCCTGTCTGATGACTTAAATCAGCAGGAATGGTCTTTTTGAAGCATCCTTTCTGTGGGAAGTTTGACTATCTGGTAGGCAGAAAAGGGTCTTCTTCTCCTTTGAAAATTGTCTCTGAGGGAGGAGAATTTGGTTTCCACTGGTTCAGTATTTTGGGAAATATTTATTTATTTATTTATTTATTTATTTGTTTGTTTGTTTGTTTGTTTGATTGATTGATTGATTTATATGCCGCCCTTTTCCGGAGACTCAGGGCGGCTTACAATGCATTAAGCAATAGCCTTCATACCTTTTGTATATACCTGCTTAGTAGGGTTAACCAAATAACCAAAACACTTTTATTTCATCAGGCTTTTAACTGATTTTAATGGTCTTGATTTTGAGTGTCATTTTAACTATCTTGTTTTATTGTAATTTAAATGTGTCTTGTTTTGTTGGTATGCTTATACAAGCAGAAAGCCTGGGTGTAAATATCATAATGACAATGAGGAGAAAGATGATGCCTCTTTTGAGATAATCTCTCTCTGATAAAGTACTCTGACTGCTCTCATCCTTCTTTTGCAGGGCCTGGCCGTATCCGATGGAGGTAGGTGGGACATGTGACTGGATAATGCTATTAGACTTTTGGAGAGAGTGTGTAATAATGGCCACAAGATTTTGCTGGCTACTTGGAGATATGCTTGATATGGAGGTTGATAAACACAATATCAGGGAATTACCCGTTACCTCCTAGTTGAATGTTGGCCCTTTGAACTACATAAAACAACTTTCAAGTTTTTATTTAGAATTGACAAAACTGGATAGGATACTCACAGGAACAGATGATAAAATAATTTTTAAAATATACAATTACTTACTTAGTATTGATTTAGAAGAACAAGTAAAAGAAACAATGATAGTTCGGGCAAAAAATTTGGATATTCAATTGAGCTAGATAAATGGCAACAATTATGGGACAAGAATTACAAATTAATAATGTCCACAGCATATAAAGAAAATCAATATAAAATATTTTACAGATGGCACCTGAAAAACTGGCAAAAATGTTTAAAGATAAATCAGCTAAATGCTGGAAATGTCCTCATATACCAGGATCGTATTATCATATGTGGTGGACATGTCCAGAAGCAAAAAACTATTGGATTAAAGTTAAAACATGGTTAGAAGAAATGATACAACAACATATAGATTTAAAATCTGAACTGTTCCTATTGGGTATCCTACCAGAGAAATTTAGTAAAGAAAATATATATTTGATTATTCACATAATAACTACAGCAAAGATAGTATCTGCGCAAAGATGGAAAGCAGAGAAAATCCCTACAGAGAGTGAAGTAATTAAGAAAATATTGGATTGTGCAGAAATGAATAGATTGACTTTGACAATCAAAGAAAGAGAGGAATCTGAATATTTTAAGATATGGAGACAATTTTACCATTGATTAGAGAAGAAATATCTATAGGGTAATGTAATGAAACATGGAAAGAAGAAAGAGGAGAGAGAAGATAAATGTATTAATAGTAAAGTAAGAAATGTGGGAGAAATGTTATAATAAATGAAATGATGATATTATGAAATGATTAACATTGGAGAACAAGAAGAACTCACAAAAGATGTACTCAGATGAAGCACTGAACGATTGATTATGTATTGTATGTTTCTTTGTTTATAAAATAAAAAAAATTTGAAAAAAAACCCCAACTTTCAGGGGATTAGATGCAGGGGTGGTATTCACTTACCTCCGCTGCCGGTTCACTTATATGCGCCACCCTCCGCACATGTGCAGAGCGTCCAAAGTGGGACATGATGACATCTGGGCGGGTGGGCGGAGCCTTCTGCAGCCTCCGCTACCAGTTCGCCCGAACTGGATAGAACCGGCTAAATACCACCACTGATTAGATGCTAAAACAAATGTTTGACCAAACTATCCTAGGATGCTTGACTGGGGAATAGACAGACCCCTGGTTTTATACTGCCATTAGTAATAAGAAGCTATCAAGCTAGAAATTTGTTCTTCACTAATGAGCTGATGAGAATGAACAAACCACCAGCAATAGGAATAAACCAGACCTTTGCACAATGTCATCAGGAGGGACAGGAATAAGGTTTTCCTTCTCTCTAATGTTCTGTTCAAAATCACGGGTTTACCTGTAGAAAATCAGTTATTAGCAACAGTTTTTGGGAGAAATTGAGTACCTTATCATTTTTTTCCTTTGTCCCCGTGGTTCCTTCAAGATGCTAATTCCTTGCTGCTGTTAGCAGGAGGAACTAGTGATTTTGAGCAGCTCTTTGGTAGATGGGAAACAAGGTGTCTTGCCTCTCGGAGATTCTGCTTAAAATCTCTGATTTCCAATGATGGGAAATTAACTATCAGCCTACAGTAGCTGTATATAGAAACTCCAGCAAGAGAAACCGCTCGTTTACAAAGATCTCAGGGTCACTGTCCCATAACCAATATTGAATTAAGAATAGATTTTGTACATGAAGTGAGCTGATGACATCCTGTTGGTCATTTCAGATAGAAAAATGTTTTGGTTTACCCTGGTACTTCAATACTCCAGATTCATACCACCTTTCTAGATATGAGGCCTCTGAAAAACTTGAAACTTTTCTCTGCTTCACAGAGTTAAACAGCTCTGGCAGCCGGGGTAGTAATAACAGTGTGAACAGTCTGCCGTGCACTCAGAGTGTCACTCCCTCCCTGGGGCAATCCGTGGCCCGCTGGGCTGAGTCCTTTGAGACACTGCTACAGGACCAGCTTGGTGTTGCATACTTCACTGTGAGTTCCATATCACCTTTCTGTTTCCTTTGATTTTTCACTGCACATTCTTCCGTTTTTACTATTATTTATTTCCCCCCCCCTTCTAAGATGGCGTGTATTTGGAGCTGTTTAGAGCTATATGCTTTATACCAGTCTGAAATTGTGCGGCCATATCTCTCCTCTCTAGTCTTTTTAACCTTGAAACAGAACTCCTTTCCTCTCTACTGGTTTGCTAGAGAGTAGAGCTGCTTACTGATGGCTATTTGCTACCCAATACAACTTATATGGTGATCTTGCACTTTGGGCAAAAATAATAATTTGGCTTCGCTTAATGTTGCCTGAATCCTTTGATTTCCCCCTTGGCTGTTCTAGAGTTCTGGATTATGATAATGTTGCAATAGATAGGGAATTATTATCCTTTTCTTTCCAGGAGTTCCTGAAAAAGGAATTTAGCGCTGAGAATGTATATTTCTGGCAAGCCTGTGAACAATTTCAGCAGATACCAGCTAATAGCACTCAAAAGGTAAGAATTCTTCTTCTAGAAGACCAAATTTCACATTATGTGGACTTATTTTGTGCTAAGAAAATATATGTAATTCATATGTATGAGATACGTTTGATCCTAATTGGAATTCTACAGAATATTCAACTTTTATCTTATTATGAGGTTTGGAATATAATTTATAAAATGAAGACTGTGAACCTCATAAAACCAAATTCTGTGTATGATTTATAATTCCGAAATTTCACAACAGACAGCAATGTGTCAAGGAATAATATAATGCCCCACAGCCTCAAACTGCATAGAACAGAATTTTATATAAATAGCAAGAGCAAGCATAATGAGAAGGAGGAAGACAAGAGGAGAGTGATGATTATTTAATATGTTATTTAGGGAAGTCATATTCTTTACCAAGAAAAAAACCAAATTCTGTAAGATATATTCACTATTGAACCCTGTTGGTTTTAGCTACATTTCCCCCTTTTCCTTATCATTGGGGAGATGCAGTGCAGAGTATTAATTTTCTTCCTTTTATTATTGGAAATCCTACTTAACTGGTCTTGGATTTAGATACATTATTATACCCCCGCTTTTCAAATTTATTGACATATCCATACGGGCACAAATCTTGCCTTTTTTGCTCTAAAGCATGGGGGAGATGGATGGAGGGAAGAAAGGAAGGAGCTCTTGTTGAATTTTTCACCCAAATGAATAGCATTGATATTTCTTTATTTTTTGCTGAGAACCATTGAAAGCACACTAACCTATGAGATGAATAGAGCGCCCAGACGGTTCTCTCCCTATATTATGTACTTAGGGAGAAAATACAAGCCATGTTGATTGCTGCAGCTGGTCTGGATATTTCTGTTCTTCACTATTGTGATATTGTGATTCTCACTCCGTGTACTTTCTTTGTAGCTGGCTCAGGAAGCTAGGAAGATCTATGATGAATTTCTGTCAAGTCATTCAGTAAACCCAGTGAACATTGACAGACAGGCGTGGATTGGTGAGGAGATGTTGTCCACTCCCACTCCTGAAATGTTTCATGTCCAGCAACTTCAGGTGAGAACAGTCCATGTCCACTAGCTGATATGCCAATACAAAATACATGTTTGTAAAAAATAATAAAGGCGGAATAGAAATAAATTATATAGCTATGAGAAGTATAGCAGATATGAATTTGCTCCCCAATTAATAATTAAGTACATTTCTGATTCAGAATGTTGTGATTCCTGTTGGATGAAGCCACCTAAGTGCCAAGCTTTAGAGACACTAATGATACTCAACTTTGCTTCTTACAGATTTTCAACCTGATGAAATTTGACAGCTACGCACGTTTTGTCAAGTCTGCATTGTACCAAGCGTGTGCAAAGGCAGAAAACCAAGGGCAGCCCTTGCCAGAACTGAGATCCAGTTCTCAGACTGGCAGCCCACCTACCGAACATAGCAAGGTGGGAAGCCTTTACTTCCAGCCTAGAAGATAGTGTGATTTGGGGCAGAGGTCTCCAACCTTGGCAACTAAGACTTGTGGACTTCAACTCTCAGAATTCTGGGAATTGAAGTCCACAAGTCTTAAAGCTTTGCTGGCTGAGGAATTCTGGGAATTGAAGTCCACAAGTCTTAAAGCTTTGCTGGCTGAGGAATTCTGGGAATTGAAGTCCACAAGTCTTAAAGCTTTGCTGGCTGAGGAATTCTGGGAGTTGAAGTCCACAAGTCTTAAAGTTGCCAAGGTTGGAGAGCCCTGATTTGGAGGGATTTGGGAATGCTACTTAAGCAAGTCCAATAGATCTAGAGCTCTTATACTCTCTGGTTTTCTCTTAGAAAACAAAACTAAAGGCAGGGAAATCGCTACCGTTAGGAGTGGAGGCAGCTGGTAACCTGGCTGGGAGGAGTCCTCGGAGATCCTTTCGGAAAGGAGACCGGAGGGACCGTCCCTGGGGAGGTGAGTCTAGAGCTGAAAGTAGGGATACAGTTGAAGGAGGTGACAGAACAGGAATGATTAATAATTGGCCAAGTATTCTCCAAAGTCCTAACTCCTTGCTAACTATCTGTCCTAGAGGAGAGAAATGGTGGTGAGGGACCATCCCCCTGGCGTGACTCCCAAGGCTCTTTGAATTCCTCAGCTAGTCTGGACCTGGGCTTCCTATCTTATGCAACCAGTGGCTTGCAGGCAGAGGTGAGTGGTGTTTAGCTAGATTTTGAGCTGCAGCTTGTGAAAATATTCTCTGCTCTGTTTGTTGCAATGTGGGCGCTTGGCTCTTGTCTTGCTTAAACAGTATGCCATGCCTGTTACATCATAGGTTCTACCCAGCCCCCACACTCTATCTATAATAGGCTATGACTGTGCTTCGTGTGGAGGAGTTCTCTACAAAGTAGAGATCTCTGCAATTGCTACTGAGAGCATGCTGGCATTTTCATGGCTGTATCCCCTCTCTAAGCCTCTCTCAAGGTTGCCCTACCTTGAAACTGTTGAAAAGTTGTTGCTTAGAATGCCAGGGGGAATCCCAGTTGGTGGGAAAGCAGCCCTTCTCCTGAGCATCATGGCCGATAAAATAAAAGTGGAGAATGAAATTATCCAGAGGAGAATACCGCTAGCAAAAAAAACCCCCACCCAGGACAATGTGCTTAGTAGGGACAGTAGAGTTTGGCTAATGATACAGCTACATAATGGAAACCACTTTGTGCTCTTTGACACAGCATCTTCCCGCTCTGTTTCCCAACCAAATCCCTCCACATCATTGGGAAGACAGCCATTGATTGCTGACCTTGAAATGCTGAAGGGGGTTACATTGAGATCACCATAAATCAGCCAGTGTTCCTTCCAGTTGACTATTAGTAGGTTGCATTCTGTATGTCATCAGTCAATACTCTGCCCTGAGCTATTGTTGCTCTTCCCATCATCAAATTCCTTTGTGTATGTACACACAGACACACATACAGTACAGCCTCCCATGTTTCTAGCACATGTTTTGTGCATTCTGGCCTGTTGCCCAAAATTCTGTGCTTCTGTGCTATTATGAGGGGAAATCTTCCTGGCTCCCCTCCCCCAAATGAAATGATAGGCTCCCAGTTTTCTACAGTCAAGGCCCCAATGAATGGATGGAGATGGGAGCAGTGGCAGGAATTGGGTCAACCTGGGCCTGAATGCTTCTGCTGTTATCATAGCCATGTAGATATCTACAAATCCATGCTCCAGGCAGGCAAAGAAGAAGGATGAAGTAGTGGTAGGGCTGTCACAGTCATAGTGTCTGATGGCAAAAAATGACTGGGCAGGAACATGCTTGTCAGGTGCTGCCTGTGTTCCTGCAGGTCCCACTCCATCATTCTTTGTTAGCAATTTATTCCATTACCCATTCACACCGCTTGCCCCCACCATCCCAATGGGGCAAGTTAAAGAGGCAATTCTATGGTTGCAACTCCTGCTTTTGCCACTGATTTCTTTGCTACTTGCTTGCTCTGTTTCTTCCCTGAGCCCCAGAAGGAATGGCAAAAAAAAAAAAAGGCTATCCATATATTGTAATTTGAGAAAGAAAAAGAGAGTTAAGTTCTACCTTTGTTCCAGTTTCAAAAAAAGCACAAACACGTTTTGGTGCAAGAAAGATGCTAACTTTGTTTTCCAAGCATATTAATTTTATGTAGTGAGACAAATCCAAAACTGTCTCTGGAAGGGCCAGAGATGCCAGGTAGAGCTTTGTACAGTCAAAGTCTTTTCCAAATAAATATTTGCTCCTTGGTTGTGGGTGGTTATTTTTTTGAAGTATATGTACCATGCAAATAAAGAATGAAACATTCTACTCGCATCCCCATCTACCATGGTAGCTCATAGCAGTGGTGAAATCCAAATTTTTTTATTACCGGTTCTGTGGGAGTAGCTTGATGGGCGTGGTATGGCTTGGTGGGCATGGCAGAGGAAGGATACTGCAAAATCCCCATTCCCTCCCCACTCCTGGGGGAAGGATATTGCAAAATCTCCATTCCCACCCCCCACTCAGGAGCCACCCAGAGGTGGTATTTGCCGGTTCTCCAAACTACTCAAAATTTCCGCTGCTAGTTCTCTGAACTGCTCAAAATTTCTGCTATCGGTTCTCCAGAACCTGTCAGAACCTGCTGGATTTCACCCCTGGCTCATAATAATAAATTTGCCCACAGAGAGGTACAGCTCTTGAAGCTGAAACCAAATGCTTCCCGCTGTCTAATAAACAGATTATCTGACAGATCTATGGTTTTACAGCAAGTGACACAGCAAGTTGAGTTGGCAGAATTCTGGCTGAATTACTTCAAACTGCTGGTAGAAAGAAAGGAGCATTTCAATTCTGTTCTCAAAAAGGAGAAAATGTACATATTTGCATAAAGTGTAATTACCATGAGATTCACTGCCTCAAGATTCAGTGCCAGCTGCTGGCTTCCATGGTTTTATAAAGGAATTATGTATGCTGGCTGGTACAAGAGCTCCCAATATTGTTTTTAGTATTTAACATTGCTGAGGAATAATAGGAAATAGTTCATGCTTATTGAGTTCCTTCAAGCAATGTTATCAATCACTATGTAAAGTGGGAATATCTGGACTTTTTTTTGATACATCAGGCTTTCTATAATACTAGATGTTCTTCTTGATGTGCAAGTTTTCTTCACCATGTTGCTTCAAATCACCAAAAATCCATAAAGGAATTTTCTTTAAAACTCCATCTTAACTGTGGCCCAAAGTCCTACTATTATATCATTCTGTAGAGAAAGCAATTGAGAGAAGAGTTTTGATTGATTATGTGCCATCAAATCATTGTCAGCTCTTAGCAACCATATATATAGATTTTCTCCACAATAATCTGCTCTTAACTTGGTCTTTCAGGTCTTCCAACTGTATAGGAAAAAGTATATGTAATTTTTTTAAAATTGCAGGTTTGGCTAAAAGCTTCACCAAGCTCACACCTACCATAAATGTATGCATTGATAGATATATAATATTAATGATCTTTGATCTCAAGTAATTGTCTATTGTGAAGACTGTACTTTCAGATTGAGATTGTAGTAGGTTAGTAAATGGAGCTGAATGTGATAAATTCTCTTCTCTACAGAACCACAGGAAGAGTCTGACAGGCTCAGAATCTGACAGTCAGAACCATCCCATTAAATATTGTTGCATTTATCTGCCTGATGGGACTGCATCGCTGGCCCCAGTACGTTCTGGCCTCTCTATCCAGGAGATGCTGGCTGGAGTTTGTCAGCGTCGTGGTCTCAATTTACCTGATGTAAAGATCTACCTAATGGGAAATGAAAAGGTAGGTCCAATTTGTTTTAGACAAAAAGGAAACATCACTGGAAGAACAGGACTTTAGGAACCTAAAAGAAAGGGATTTTTCTAGGTAAAATTTAGATTGGAGCATCCGTAATCTCTCTCAATATGTACCAAGGTAACGTCATAATTACTGTGTTTCCCCGAAAATAAGACCCTGTTTTTTTAAAAAAAAATTGATTTATATGCCGCCCTTCTCTGGAGACTCAGGGCGGCTTACAATGCGTTAAGCAATAGCCTGTCTTATATTTTTTTGAACCCCGAAATAAGTGCTTGGCCTTATTTTCGGGGAGAACTTATTATTTTGGGGCACGAAGAGGAAATGGCGGGGACCAGCTTCGCATTTAAATATTTTCGGGGAGGGCTTATTTTCAGGGGGGCTTATTTTAGCGCATACGCTCAAAAGTCTGATTGGTCTTATTATCAGGGGATGTCTTATTTTTGGGGAAACAGGGTAAAGTTGTGAATTCAGAAGTTGTAAACAGAAAATCTACTGTGGTTACAAATTCACTTTAAGCCAATTTACTTGTAATCTCCACATGCAATATTTATCTACTTTATCTAATTTAATTGAGCAGAAATTGGGCTTTGGGTGTAATTCTTTGGATAATTCTCTGTTGGATTGAGAGTTCACTGTTGTTTGGCTGAGCTTTCCCTGAAATTCTATTTCTTAGTCCTATGCAGTAGGGCTAAGGAATATCGGCCCTTAGAGATTGTTCATCACAACTTCTAGTATGCTTCACCATTGGCCATGCCAGCTGGGAGTACTAGGATGTTTTATTCTATATATTTTATATAACTTTTATTTCTATGTTCTATAGCTTCTAATTGCCTGGTTGGCTTATGAAAATAGGTCACTGGAGTCCCTTTTAACTAGAGATAGTAGTTATATTCTCTAAGTATCTATCCACATAACACATATTGTTAACAAGCCAAACAAATAAATATTCTTCAAATGAAATTGAGTTCATTATAGAAAGTATCTTTTGTCTAGGCTTAAATTGGTATATAGTTTCAGCATCTTTTAAATTCAATACAGCTTTATTGTTTTTCCTCTTTGAAAGGGCTAGAGAAAAATATACTTATCTAGATATCCAAAGTTATAGTTCAGATATCCAACCTGATTGTACATTAAGTTTTTCCACGGCATATTTATATTGGGCAAATAATTTTTAGTCCATGGATGATTAAAGAATGTGCATATATTAGGTGAAATCAACAAGCAATTTCAGTTTTCAAAGAATATTAGTATCATGATTAATGATATTATATCTATTTCTTTGTTTAGAAACATTTTTATCCTACCACAATTAAAAATATCTCTCCCCAGTATTATTTGCAAATTTCTTAAAAGCTATTTTCCCAGAATTGCATCATTGATATGTATGAACTTTATAGCTTCATACAAATAGTCCTTGACTTATAACCACAATTAAGACCAGAATGTCCATTGCTAAAAAATGCAGTTATGAAATGAGTTTCCACAATTTTACAACCTTTTTTGCCATGGCCGTTAAATGAATCACACAGTCATTAAGTGAATCCAGCTCTCCTCATTGACTTTGTTGGGAAAGACGTAAATGTTGTGACTGAGGCCCAAGTAGTGATTACCAAACACAATTCAGTCCTCAACAAACTTATTTTATTAAAACAGATGAGAATTAATTCATTCTCAGCTTAGTCCAAAACAAAATTCTTAATAACCAGTCTGTCAGCCTTATCACCAACCTTTGATGTCTTTGGCAACCTGCCACAGGCATTTCTTGGCAGAAATCCCACAAAGTTCAAGAGACGCTGACAAGAAGCACAGGAATCAACGTTGCTTTTCTACAAAGATCCCAAGAGCCATTGCTGCTCTTTTAAGCCTTACGGGAGCGGGCAAGCATCTTCTGGCCTTACTCCCGAGTTGTCCTTTTTTCTTCAGCTGCTCTTGCCTTCTGGCAGCTCTTCGCACGCGTGCACTAGGAGCAGGCTCCTCCTGTTCCTCTGCCTCTCTGCTGTCCGCCTCTGGAGGCTCTGGAGTCCGCGCATCGCTCCCAGATGCCCTGGCCCCATCTCTGCCTCTGACGCAGAGCCCTCGTCCGAGCCTTCCCCTGACTCCAGGACTGGCCCGTTGTCCTCCCCAGCCTCCTCACTGTCCGACTCCACTGCCAGGTCCGCAGGCTGCTGGCGGACCACAACAGTAAATGGCAATCGTGTCATCCTGGGTCACTGCAGCCATCATAAATATATGCTGATTGTTAAGTGTCCAAATTTTGATCATGCGACCACAGGAATGCTATAAATGCAAGAACCAGTTGTCACTTTTTCCAGCATGGTTGTAACTCCAAATGGTTGTTAAATGACCTAAGTCAAGGCTAGCTGCAATGAATTAATCTGTGGGTTGATGTAGAATCATATCGTACATTAGCAAACATTTCTATGCACATTCCTACATGAGTGTTCTTTCTTTGCACTGTATCGATATTTCTGTATTTCTTTGGCTTTTCACAGAAGCCGCTGGCGTTGAACCAGGACAGTTTAGTATTGATGGACCAGGAGGTAAAGCTGGAGACCAGGGTCAACTTTGAGTGAGTGTGATCAGTGAAAACTCCTTCTGTTCTGGGTTGGCTTTGCTTCATCTTTCTTAATACCAGGCTGAGATTCCTGCCCCAGAAGAGTGACCCATTTGTTTTTACAACACAGATGAAAACAACTCTTTTGCTGTTTTGGGGGCATGCATACAGCAGTTCAATAGTACTCATTATTGATTGTATGTGGTTGAACTAAAAGTGAGCTTAAGTTGCCTAGCCTTCACGTTGGTACTGATAGTTGAATAAGTAGACTTAGAGTCTTCTCTCAATGCTGAATTCAAGTGTTATTCACTTGATCTTGAATTGGCAAAAACAACAAGAACCAAAACCAACCCCACCCTGTATCCCTGGCATAACATTTTCCATTTCCTTTGCCAATCTCTATCACACAGCTATTATTTCCGTTTTGGCTTGCCAACAAATAATAATGCCCTGATTTCGGGTGTGCAACGCATGTTAAGCAAAGTGGTTGCTTAATCACACAAATTATGGTGCCCTCCTACTCACTGAAGTCTGAAGGAATCCATCCATCAGCCACAACAGGGAATGTGAGGCTGGCACTGGGATGGGGTTTTGGGATAAGGCAGATGCCTTGGCCTGCCTCTCTTCTTTACTGTGCCTGGCAGACCAGGAGAGTAGGGGTCTGTTCTCCAACTTCCAAGTCCACTGAACAGCAAACAGACTTGCTGAGGCACATAGGAATGAAGCTGTGTTTCACAAGTAAGAAAATGTAGTCCTTTTAAAACCTAAAGCCGCTCAGAGTCTGCTGCTTTAGTGAGATGGGTGGCATAGAAATTAAATAAATAGATAAAACCCAGCCACCTCTCAACAATTTCCACAAGGAAGAGCAGGGAGGAAAATAGTGGTACAGAAGAGTGCTTGGGGTCTGGAGCAGGGGTGAAATGCTCCTGGTTCGGACTGGATCTCCCGATCCGGTAGCGAAGGCAGCGGGTGGTTTGGAGAACCGGTAGCAAAAATCCCTGCTCCCCGCCCCCACATGCCCAGCTGAGCAGCACAATCATCAGAGGCTTTTTAAAAAAATTTTAAAAGCATTTTTTTCTACAACCTCTTCGGCCAAAAAAATGCTTTTAAAAGTAAAAAAAAATGATGATAGCAAGGCTCAGCTGGGATAGTCAGAGGCTTTTAAAAGCATTTTTTGAAAACAACCTCTTCGGCCGAAGAGGTTGTAGAAAAAATGGTTTTAAAAGAAAAAAAAAAAGTTGGCCATGCCCACCCAGTCACATTACCCCCCACCAAGCCAGCCCACAGAACCTGTAGTAACAAATTTTACATTTCACCACTGGTCTGGAGGGAAGGGTTGTGCCCTCACCAACTTCACGTGGTCAATAGGCAGCTCAGCTAAAAATAACTTCTGATGTCTCACACACGGATTGAAGACCCACACCAAGAGATGTTCATGTTCATAAGAGCCATGGCAGCGCAGTGGTTAGAATTTAGTATTGCAGGCTAATTATGCCATACACCAGCAGTTTGATTCTGAGCGGCTCAAGGTTGACTCAGCTTTCCATCCTTCTGAGGTCGGTAAAATGAGGACCCAGATTGTTGGGGGCAATATGCTGACTCTGTAAACTGCTCAGAAAATGCTGTAAAGCACTGTGAAGTGGTATATAAGTCTAAGTGCTATCGGTATTGCTTTATTTCTGGTTTTGTTCAAATTAGAAAAAGACTTTAGTGCAGGGGTCTGCAACCTTAAACACTCAAAGAGCCATTTTGACCCATTTCCCACAGAAAAGAAAAAACCGGGAGCCACAAAACCCTTTCCGTGCCTGACTATTTTTTGAGCGGCCACAAAACTAGCATATGTAATTGAATTAAACGTTTTGTTTTCTTCTGAACCTTTTCTTTTCTTGGATTTATCCATTGTTGGCCTACCGGGGTTGAAAAGCTCAATAAATCGTGTGTTGGTGGGTGTTGCACATTGGCGGTTGTGACACATATTTTGAGTGACAGGGAGCCGCAGCAGAGGGGTGAAAGAGACACATGCAGCTCCAGAGCTGCAGGTTGCTGACCCCTGCTTTAGTGGTTGAAAGTTAACAGCACAGAAAGCCACTATCTATGCTACACTATGAGATGCTATTTCTCCCCGGGTATGTGACCATTTTAGCATCAATGTTTATGCTAGTATAAATAATTCAGAGCTCATAATTCATTTCAGTGGATCTACAGTATATGAAAATTTTTCTTTCTGGGGTGTGTGTGTGTGTGTATGTACATATATACGTGTGTGTGTGTGTGTGTATGTATGTGTGTATACACACACACACACAGAATGCTGCTTTCTCATTTTCCTTTGTATTTACCATGATCTGTAAATAGGCACATAGAATTCAGGAAGGATTGAGGCGATGCAAAAGATGGCTGCAATTTGCCTATGATTTGTGTAATGTGTTCCACCCATTTAATATATTTATAGTGGTTTTCTCACTTTGTGCTATCAAGCCGATATTGACTCTTAGCAACCACAATAGATAATCTTTTTCTCCAGTATGATCTGTCCTCAACCCGATCCTTCTTTTTTACAGGCTGCACATTACACCTATCAATAAGACAGTCCGCATTCTGGCAAAATCAACTAAAACCTTGCAAGAAGCATTGCAGCCCATCTTGGAGAAATACAGTCTTGATATTAGACAAGTGTCACTCAAACGGGTAAGAACCATCATGAAATAGGATGGGTAAATATAGGTAGTCCTAATTGAGCCTAAAATTTCTGTTGCTAAGCAAGACAGCTGTTAAGTGAGTTTTTCCCCATTTTATGACCTTTCTTGCCACGATTGTTTAAATGAATCACTGCAGTTAAGTTAATAACATCGTTAATAAGTGAATCTGGCTTCCCCATGGACTTTGCTTGTCAGAAGATCGCAAAGGGTGATCCCATGAACTTGGGAGACTGCAAATATGAGCCAGTTGCCAAGCATCTGGATTTTGATCACATGACCATGGGGTTGCTACAATGGTCAAAAGTGTGAAAAATGGTCATAAGTCACTTTTTTCAATATCGTTATAACTTCAAATGGTCACTAAATGAACTGTTGTAAGTTGAGGACTACCTGTTGTGACCCAGGCCCGCGTAGTTAATATTAAATGTAAAACAGTTCCAAAAAACAAACAGATTTTATTAAAACAGCTGAGAATTAATTCATTCTCTTCTTATTACAAATTAAATGAAAGCAAAGTTCTCAAAACACCTTTAGTTTATCTCTGACCTTGGGATAATTAGGCAAACTGCCAAAGGCTTTTCTTGGCAACAGTTCAGGAACAGAAGACACTGACAAGAAAGAAATACATCCAAACATGAAGCAAATCTCTCAACGGTTGTTTTCCGGTAAAGAGGCCAAGAGCCGTTACTGGTCTTTTAAGTCTTATGGGAGGGGCCAATCATCTCTTGGCCCTACTCCCGAGTCGTCCTCTCTGCTTTAGCTGCTCCTGCCTTCTGTCAGCTCTTCCCATACATGCACTAGGAACAGGCTCCTCCTGTTCCTCTGCCTCTCTACTGTCAGCCTCTGGAGGCTCCGAAGTCCACGCATCACTCCCCGATGGCCCTGACCCCATCTCTGCCTCCGATGCAGAGCCCTCATCCGGGTTTTCCCCAGCCTCCAGGACTGGCCCATGTTCTTCCTCAGCCTCATCACTGTCCGCAGGCTGCCGGCGGACCACAACACTATCTGTAGTGTTTGACGAAGCTGGGATTTGTCAGTATGACATGGCTGCGTAATTCTGAATTTTCAGCTTGCTCCCAGTTGCACTCTGCAATTCTTGGTCTGCACTAGAGACACTGCTTCCACTTTGTTTATTTATTAAATTTATCTGCTGCCCATCTCGTCAGAAGGCGGTTTGTCAGGAGTAAGAGCTACAAAGCTAAAAAGACAGCTACCTAGACTGGAGTTCTGTTTTGTTCTGTGGGTGAGAAGAAAATGCCCATTGTTCTCTGGGTCCATGCTTTTTGGAGTCCCATTTCCTTGTAAATCTTCTGTTGAAAAGCAACGCCCACTCTAGCAGGGTATATGTACACTACTATTTGGGCCATCCATTTCCGGTGTGTGTGTGTTGGGGGGTGTCAGTTCTTTTCCCTCCCCCTGTGCAATCCTGGCCTTTTTTTTCCCTCTGTTAACTTTGTTCTCTCCTGCAGTCTGGGGGACTCCAAACTTTGAAGTTGGAAGAGAAGGTTAGTGCAGTGGCTGCTCAGAAGCTTGTTCTAGATTCAGATGCAGGTATGTGATGCTCAAAGGAACATAATTATCTGTGCAGGATTGTAACTCCTAAGCCTGATTAATTCTATTGTAGACAGAACTCTTTTCCTCTAGGGAGAATTATTTGAAGAGGGTTCCCAAGAAGAGATGACTACATATTCTTTGTACCTTTTTCTTTCCCATCAGTGCTAGTGAATCGATGCTCTTTTTTATTCACCATAAGCAATGGTTGCAACTGATTTAATTAATTAATTTATTGAATTTATTTGCTGCCCATTTCCCTCTGAAAAAGTGACTCAGGGTAGCTGTTGTGATGCCAATGTTGTGCATTTTGCCCTATTAACCTGCTCAGTGTTGGATGCAGTGTATTTCTGGAGAAAATTAGGTATAGGCCACTTAACGTAAGCAGGTCAGCTGTTTTAAGCACATGAAACATCTTTCCCATGTGCGGCATAGATCTGCCTACAGGCTGGGATGTTTGCCATAAAGAACATGGAAAGAAAAATTTCTTGTCATTTATTTATTTAAGAAAATTTATATGGCTGCCGAACTCACTCTCAGTGATTACAGTCAGCATGCAAACATAAATCCCATTACAAAAACAATACAAGAAGCAATTTGCATTGTTCCTTGATGGTCTCCATATCGGGTCCCCAGGTCCATTGGCAGAATCATGTCTTCAGGACCTTGTGAAAGAATGTCAAGATCGGGGCCAAACTTATTTGTGCAGGGGTAATGTTCCACAGGGAGGGAGCCACCATGGAGAAGGCCCTTCTTCTTGGTCCTGCCTGAAGGACCTCCTTAGGAGAGAGGACCTGCCTCCCTGCTTTGGTGGGTCGGGTTCTCCTCCTCCTCCATCCTCTTTCCTCTTCCACGTTCACATCAATTAATAACCCCCAATCTCACATGATGGACCACAGAGGATGTTACCTGCTTACCTGATAGAAAACAAGATAGTTTATAAAATGTATGTTTATAAAAGCTGAATGGAAGGAAGATAAAATGTGATGGAATATGGTAGACCTGCTGAACGGGTTCCTACAAGGGGGCCTTGGCAGAATAAAAATGGTAACTCTGCTTTTATTTCCTGCCCCCCTACCTGGTACTCACAATTTTCCTAGACTCGGATATGCTGGCATACACAGTATTTCCTTCTGCTGACTTGTGCTGTCCTTTAAGGCATAGTTCAGTATCTCTCATGCAGCCACATAAAGCAACTATCTTTCCTCCAGAAATTCTAACATCCATCTCTTTTATTGCAGAAGTGAAATCTGTCATGGTAGCAGATGCTACTTGTGAGCAATTTGAGGTGAGCAATGATCATGAAAGCAATAACACTTTATTAAGTTGCTTCATGCTTCAAGGGGAATCTTAACTCTTCCATGACTTTTAAAATGCATCACTGCATATAATTTTTTTTTTATTCCTTCTCTAGCATTCTTCCTGATAACGATCAGGATGAATGTGCAGATAATTGTTTTATTTTTTGCTCAAAACGTAGATGCCGTACATTTATTGTGAATGGTCACAGGCTAGGAATGATGTTACTATTTCCTTTGTGATACACTATACTTTGGTTATAGTTGTGACTTACCTACAAATGGATCATTTTCTGAGGCTGGCTTTCTCCCACTGTGGTTCTAGGATGACAGTACTCTGGAGACCGAGTCTGAAAGTGACCCATTCCCAGCAATGTCCTGTTCTTTTACCAAATCCATCAAGAATAACCAGAACCGCCACACGTATGATATGGAAGGTAAAGCATCTCTCTCTCTGCTTGCAACCTAATAAAATTGAGGAGGTCAAGGAGATGCTGCTTATAAATGTGTGTGTGTGTGTGTGTGTGTGTGTGTGTGTGTGTGTGTACATACCTTTTGAGTCAGTGTTAACTCCTGGGCCTGGCCTCAGCAATTTTCTTGGTAAATTCCCCACCCCCCACCCCCAGAAGTGGCTTGCCATTGCCTGCTTCCCAAAGTTGAGGCAGAATGACTGGCCTAAGGTTACCCAGCTGGTTTCGAGCCTATGGCACGACTAGAACTCAGAATCTCCCAGTTTGTAGTCTAATGTCTTAATCACTACACCGGACTGGCTCTTTAGAAGATTAGTAACTCTAGGAAATTAAACAGAACCAAGCCATGCTAATTTGGATATATCTTTATAAATTATAATTTCTGGCAGCAAATTAACAAACTGTAGAGCTGTGGAGCACTTTAATTTGGAAAGCAAGAACAGAGGGAATCTGGGAATTTAAATTGGAATTCAAATCTACATCTTCCTGATTCAAGTTCAACACTAACCACTACATCACATTGCCTACTGAGAAATAGACGGCCAGAAAGGCAGGGAAGAAATGGAAAGAAAAGTGGAGGTGTCATACAGATTAAACTGCATTGAAACTAAATTTGTCATTTCCTGTCCCAAAGGCACTGTTGGCATACCAGTTAGACTTCCCCCTTTTTAATTTTCAACATTTATTAAATATGATCAATTATGTGCCATCAAGTCAGTGTCAACCCTTAGCAACCATACAGATAGCTTTTCTCCATGACAAAAATTGGTCTATCCATGTGGCCATGCTCTTCTCTTCCAGTTTGTTTCACTATGTACTAGCTGCTCCCCTCAAACAAGAGGCTCTGGGTGGCAAACAATCATAAAACAATTAAGAAACAGTTAACAATTAAAACAAAATAATCCAAACAGTTAACAATTTAAAAAGAACAGGGATGTTTTGGAATTTATTTATTTATTAGATTTATAACTGAGCATCTCCTCCACCTTTTAGCAATTATACAGTCTATTTGATTTCTGTGTTGTCCATCTGGTGATGTCCGTGTATAGAAGTGTCATTTTGGTTGTTTGAGGACTGTGTTGGCAATGAAGACATCATGGAAGTGCCCGAAATTGATAGGTCACACCCCTATTTCTTTTCGGTTTCCTGAGCCATACACTCTAACATTTTCCTCCATAATTATTTCCAACTCTGGCCTTCCACTTTCCAATCACAAGCAGCCCATCTTGCTTGCATGTCCTGTTGATTTCAGACTGAACTTGATCATCAAACTCATCAATCTCCTCTTCATCTGCATCAGTGGTTGGAGAGTAAATAATAATTGTCACATTAAAGAGTTGCTTAGAAAATCTAGTTGTTATTATTCAGTTGTTGACTACATTACTGTCAAGTACAGGTCATCCTTAGTTAAGAACGACTCATTCAAGAACTTTCTGAATTTGCAACAGCATAGAACGAATGATACTTAAGTGATCTTTGGAGCCATCACAGCATCTCACAGTCACATGTTTATCATTTGCAACCTTCTTTGTTGGCTTCCAACACACAACATCAATGGGGAGGCTAGCAGGAGGTCTCAAATGATGACCATGTGGCATCCTTGCTGAACAACCTGTGGTAATTCACTTAGCAATGGCAACTCGGAGTGCTGGAATTGTCGTTGCTAAGCAAAGCGGTTAGATGATGTCACACTTTATATTCATGCCAGTAAGCAACAGCAAATTCTGGTTCCAACTGCCATCGGTAATTGAAGACTACCTGTACTATTCTTGCTGTGTCTTTTCAAGCTATACAAAAATGTGGTTCCTTTTTTTTTTCATGTCCTGTACAGTAAGCTGTGTGAACTTCTGACTGAAAGTTTCAATCTCAACATCTGAATTCATTGATTCCAAAAATATTTGGAATTTGTAGTTGTTTCATTTCATCTTTCACTGTGTTGAGCTTTCCCAAGTTTATGCTGTTTCTGTACCATGTTCTAACTCTGCCCTTGCAGCTTTGGATTTTCATACATGTATCGCAAAGTGAACATACAAGATATCCCAAAGGGTTTTAGTTTAGCCACATTATAAACACAATTAGTATTCCGAAAGATTAGCAGCCTTTCCACAGTAAGATGTTGAATATCATCTGACCTGACGGGCCATCATCCAACACTTTATTTTCACTTTTATATGTTATATCCATGTGCTCTTCCTGGTAAAATACAGCAGAGATTTACTATTGAATTGTCTCACATAATATGAATGGATGTCTACAAAAGTGATAATCTGCCTCCAGTATCCTTTTATATTGCTGCTCCCCAATATAGGTGCCTACTAGTTTTACCTAGGATGACCATGTGTGACCCTGCTGGGAGTTTATACATATAGCACTTAGCACTTAGACTTATATACCACTTTACAGTGCTTTACAGCCTTCTCTAAGTGGTATACAGAATCAGCCTATTGCCCCTAACAAATTGGGTCCTCATTTTACCCACTTCGGAAGGCTGGAAGGCTGAGTCAACCTTGAGCCTGGTGAGATTTGAACTGACAAATTGCAGGCAGCCGGCAGGCAGCAGAAGTAGCCTGCGGTACGGCACTCTAACCACTGCGCCACTGTGGCTTGAATATACATATATTCCCAATATTCTTTGCTCATTTTTCCCAGGAACACTTCCTGGCCATACTGAGGCAATACAACAGGACGTGGGTGGATTAAATATAATTACATAACAAAAATTATGCAAGGGCCTGCTGGATCATGAATATAGGCTCTATCACTGGTCTCAGCGGCTGGGTACATACGCATGAAGTTGCAAGCATGTGATGTTGGTATTGCATCTCCTGTGTCTCTTTTTTTCCCTTGCAATTGGTGCCCCCTTTCATGTGGAGCGCTTGTCAGGTGCACAATTTGCAAGCCAAGTTGCAATAGCTATATACCAAGGGTATCTGGGATTTAAAATATCTTCTTTAAGAGTCCAAAGGTTCTGTGAGAGTTTTAGCATTCTCTTCGAGATTCCTTTAGAGAAACTAAGACTATGAAAGGCATATATAATTAATATAAGCAAGTTGAAAGAGCTAAATGTTGCTGTTTGTAGAGTGACAGTACAAAGAATGTCTGGGTCTCATGTGGCTCTCCAGATGTTGTTCAATTCCAGGTCCCATCAGTCTGGTTCATGAGGAATGATTAAGTTGCAGACCAACTGTATCCTGAGTGTACTCGCCCCCCCTCCAACTATGATATTACGATTTTATTTTTTTTTATTTTTTTTATTGAAAATTTTTTACAAATACAGACTTTTCTCCCTTCCCCCTCTCCTCCTCCCTAACCCCCCCTCACCCTCCCCACCCCATGACTTCTCCAAAAATTAACTCGATTGATATCAAATTATATAATACTTTACCATCCTTTTACACCCCCCCCACATGCTAACCATTTCTTTCTAACATTATTATTATTTCCCCCCTAAACTATACATTTCAAAGCAACCTTCAACTATAAAACTATGTAATAAATCCTAATTTAACGTTTATTCAACTCATAATCTACCCATTTCTTCCCACATACATATATCTCCTAATCCAAATCTTTTATGTATATTTATATCTAAACATAACATAACATCCCTTTTCCTAAACTAAACAATCAATAACCTAACCCATCTCCACCCTTTTTCCTACAGGTCTACCTTACTTAATATTAATATCTCTGTTCTTCTGCCCACACCACAAACTAACAAAAATATGATATTACGATTTTAGATACATTGAAATATTTCTTCTCCCCTAGGGCTAATGGAACTGTTGAATCGTGCACAGAACTGCAGGGTCAATGACCAGCGTGGGCTACTGTCCAAGGAGGATCTAATACTGCCCGATTTCCTTCAGGTGCCTGAACAAGGTGGTGTCACCTGCACAAGCCATTCCTCATCCAGCCCTAAGAATTGCACCCTCAAGGCAGCAAAGGCTGACACCTCTCAGCGTCAATCCCAAATGCAGTCACAACCCCAGGTTTCTCCTTCTTCACCACTGCAAATACCAACTTCATCATCATCAGCTGCTGCTGGGAAATCTGACCTGTGATCTACTCCGTGAGAACCCCAGCCCACCCTAGGCCCTCAATTGTATGTTTTTTGCCGTGAAGCCAGGCCTTTCCTGTTTGATATCTGTCGTAGTATCATGATCTCACAGACTTGTCCCCTTGGTCTAGGAGGTTGAAGCCTGGCTATGCTCCATCTAGCTCTTGGGACTCTCAGGCTGTCTTCAGGAATGGACATGTGTGCTCCTAATGTTCTGGCCGACTTTCACTAACTGCCCATGCTGGCTGGGCAACAGAGTGCCAGTATTACTTACTTGCTGTACCAAACTATTGTACGGTGTTGCTCTATGTCGTGAAACAACTGCCAATGGCTGCTCCAATGGCAACTACAACCCTGTGGCTAGTGGTGATGCTGCCTGTATATAGTTTGTAATTTTCAGTCTCTGTAAAATGTAAAATACACTACTGATTAAGTCCTCAGTTTTTATTTTGGGGTGCATGGGTTTCAGTTGGTGGTGGAAGGCGTGGCATGGTTTGGCATGAACACATATAAATCAGTGGTGAAATTAAAATTTTTTACTACAGGTTCTGTGGGCGTGGCTTGGTGGGCATGGCAGGGGAAGGATACTGCAAAATCTCCATTTCCACCCCACTCCTGGGGAAAGGATACTGCATAATCTCCATTCCCACCCCACTCTGAGACCAGCCAGAGGTGGTATTTGCCGGTTCTCCGAACTACTCAAAATTTCTGCTACCGGTTCTCCAGAACCTGTCAGAACCTGCTGGATTTCATCCTTGACATAAACCCACAAGGCAGATACACATTTCTTTTTCAGTTGTGAGCTGAGAGGCTTTGGGGAATCCATGCTTCCTCTTGAAAGAATAGAGTGAGTTCCAATCAGCACTAGCATTTGCTTCCAAATTCATATATTTTAACACATGTGAACAGAGATCCACATCTACCAAGTCTAAGATGGCCTAGGTATAACAGAATAACAGAATTGGAAGGGGCCTTGGAGGTCTTCTAGTCCAACCCCCTACTCAGGCATTACCATTTCAGACAAATGGTTGCCCAATCTCTTCTTAAAAACTTCCAATGTTGAAGCATCCAAAGGTAAGCTTTGCGTTGTAAAACCTGCAAATGATCCCTCCTGAAACATACACAAGGATCTCCCTTCATCTTGATTCAGGGTGTGGAAGGAGTTATGACTAATAATGTTAAAAACCGTTTTCGATACTGTGGGGAGTTCTTCCGGCTGGAGTCTGGACGCACCCACACTGGATGGCTGCAACCCCCACACTGGATCCCATACTCTATCCTTGAACGGGGGGGGGAGGCTGTTCTGTGTGGCCCGCATTGCCGCGTTGAACTTGTACAGGATCCTGTACAGGGAAAAAAAAGGATCGGGATCCGAACCTTCCCCCTTTGGTCCCTGAAGACTGAACTGCTGTCGGAGACGCTGCTTCGCATGCTAAGAACGGCGGCGGAAGCAGTTGTTTCCCCATTGGCTGCCCCTAACCGCATAAATCGGCTCCTCAACATCTGAATGAGAGGAGTTGGGGAGGAGGCAGCGAGGGAAAGGAAGGAAGGAAAGAAAGAAAGAAAGAAAGGTGAAATCACTGCAGATCCCTTCCTGGGCGGTGAGGAACCTCTGAAAGCCGCATCCGGCATTCAGGCAGGTAAGCGAAGATAAGCTGAGTGGGGCGGCTGCCGCGGGCTTCACGTTTGCTTGCAAGGGCCGTGGGGGAGGCAGGAGAGCCATTCATTCATGCCACGGACGATCTCCTCCCGACAGTTAACATCGCTTATGCTGCAGGCCAATAGAGGGCGCTTGGGTTTTTCACTTACCCAGCTCCGTCGCGCAGATCGTTTCCGCGGTTCAGCGCTTGGGGGCGCCGTGGCACCAAATGGCGGAGAATTCCGCTTGGGATATAGTTAGGAGGAGGGGTTTTGTTACCCAGAGGGATGCTGCCTGCTGCTGGGCGGATGGACAGGATCTCCGGTTCTGCTTCATGGAGTCCTGTGCTGCTGTCATTAGCCCGACGCCTTAATTGCTGGATTGTTTTGCACTGGGCTACTTGAGAGCCTACTTGAGATATCGGGACAGGTCCAGATATCGTTGGGATTTTGCTTTCCGACGCAGGTTTTCCTGCCCGGTCACATTCTATATAGCGATGATTCCTCGTTCCGACGAGAAACGAAAGAAAAGTCAAACTTTTCTTTCAGTTGCAGCTTTCCCAAGTGGGGTCCTTCAGATATTGGGGTACAATTATATCTTTTCTTTAATGTACACTGAGAGCATATGCACCAAGACAAATTCCTTGTGTGTCCAATCACACTTGGCCAATAAAAAATTCTATTCTATTCTATTCTATTCTATTCTATTCTATTCTATTCTATTCCTGTGCCACCATACCCAGCACAAACAGCACCAACCGAAGGAAATCGCCGTAGGAGAGTTTTGCATAGGAAGAAAACTGTAATAGGGAAGAGGACAAATATAACAGCAAGCAAGCTTCTGGGTGGGTTCCCTACAGGTGCATTGGGGGCTTTGGTGCCATTGTGATGACCTTCCAAAAGACAACATTTTTAAATAACTTGGTACCTGAGTTGAAAACATATTCCCAGCCAAATAATTTAATGAGTGGTTAAGTAATTGATTTCTTGCTCACCTTTGAATAGCTGAAGATAGGAAAGACAGGTTCTTAACCTTATTACTTGGCAAGCAATCAGTCCATTCTTCAAAAACAAAAATATATGTTCAGAGGAGTGATTCATAGGAATATGCAGTAAAAGTCTCCTTTTATGTCTTCCTCATCACCCAATTCTCAATGTAAGGCAAATCTCCCTCTCCAAGAGGTGGCAAAAAAGGTGTCTTAGTCACAGCATAACTAATTTGAGATTAGTGCTGAATTGTTCATTGAGGTGTTATGGGTGAGTTTACCTAAAGTGGCACTTCCATTATAAGGAGATGGCATTCTCCACATTCATGATGCCTAGAAGCTGGCTGAGAAAATAGGCAGTTTAAGATATATTTCTTCTTCTGCTAATATTCCATAAGATTCCCTTCCCCTCCTAGGTGCATTATGCTTCTCTCCAAAAGCAAGATGGATCGTGGAAAATGATGCTTTCTCCAATGGTTTGTCTTTACAGAATTTGTTGTCTGATCAGAGAGAAATCTCAAAATATCCACCAGGGAAGAGCCATGGAAGTGAACTCAAAGGTATTTCAGGAAACATGTAACACTTGGGAGGTCCAAAATTATGTTTCAGAAAGACTATTCCTCACACACTGCTTGTATACCACCACTATTGTAGATATTCATCAGGTCTCATTAATGTCACAAGCTATAAGTAAAAAGATAGATCCCCAGTTTTCTATTCCAAAGATGGTTTACTATCATTAGGTGTGTAAATGCTTCCACCAATGTAATACTGGTATATTAAGGACTAATGTGTTCTTCAAAAACTATTATAATTGGATCAATTCTGTGTTTCCGTGTATTTAGGAAGCAGTTGAACTCACCGAAAGAATAAATATGATTAGCACGCCAAGATTCTTAGATTAAATCTCAAATATCTGTAACAAATTGTGATCTCAGACACGAGGGTTGGCATAGATAATTTCCTTGTGATCTAAAGATCCACAAGGAAACTGTGGAAAATTAGACCTCCAACATTTTTATGCTAATGGACATATCTAAATTACAGAGGGAATGTCGTGTGCATTTCTATCTACCACTGCAGTCTAGACGTTTAGGCTTTTAAAACATTCAAAACATAAAAACTAAATAGTTTTCTGCTCCCAACGCCCATTTCATAGGAAGGAAATGTTGAGTTTGGCTAAGTAAATTGGCCAAAGAAATTGAGTATACAGCAAAGGTAGCCAAATCACATAATTAGTTCACAGAAAGCAATCTGGTGATTCTAAAGAAAACTACACACCCATTAAACAATTAGCTGATACAAAAATGTAACAAGCAAACCAATTGAACAGATTAGGCAGAGCACAAATACACATCCCACCAAAGGTAACACAAGCAAACCACTTCCTTGCTTTCCATCTCCTTTCCCAGAATGCTGTTTTCTGTCCTCAGTATTTTTTCAGTATGCTTCTAAATGTATAGAAGGCAACAGCCATATCTAAATGCAGCCACCTCCAAAATTACAGTAACCCAGAAATGTTTTTTTGGGGGGGAAAAGTGCTCTGCACCACAGGATACTAACATTCTAGTATCTACATTTAATTAATAAATTATAATAAATAATTAAAAATAATGAGGACAGGGAGCCTCTTTCAGGTTGAAGCTACTTGAGCTAAAACGTCATATATCAAATAGAAATGGGGTTAATTTATTGGAATTACAGGAAACTGGGAAACTACAGAGAGATGGCATAGGACTCACATTGCTAAATTTTGATCAGCTAAGTATAGGAGCAAGTATGTTGACAAAGAGTAATGGAGTGTTTAGTTCTATTTGTTGGACTTTCTGTCAAGCCATCCACAGTTCTTCACCCTTCACTTCCTATCTACTAACTAGATGATACAATTGTTTCCATCCAGAGCCTCCCTCAGATACCTCTGAAATGTGAATTATTGGTCATATCCAAATTTTGTTTATATAATGATCAGGATGGCTAGGACTCAGTTCACAGTTTGGACATGGTGCCCATCAGTTAGACATTGTGCAAACTGAGAGTTTTGCTCCAGAGTTCTCTGTAATGTTGTGTTTGTGTAAGTCGTCTTAGATATTACATGCACCTAAATGCTGCTGTCATTCACACTGAACTAAAGGGCTGCTTGTCAGGAGCTACATTACAGCACATTATTGTTTTATATAGCATTTCAAGAGGGTTGACATGCTAACCCAAGCTTTTATGAGAAATGCCAGTGTAGGAAAGCCAATGCTATCAATCCTATTCACTTCTCTGGGTGGCTTAGGAGATGACTCCATCTGGTGGGGTTTTATGTTACTATGGTATTCATCTGAACCCTGCAATTATGTGGGCACGGTATGAATCTCTCTCACTTTCTAGGCCATTAATTAAACAGGGTACACATAGCCTTTCCTAATATGATTCCTGTGCTGTGATGCAGAGACAGGCTCTATAGAAGTGGCTTCTTGAGCGGGATTCCATGATGATCTCCTCAACCTTTTCAGAAGTGGTATATCAAATGAGACATTATGCAGGTTTCAGTGCAAGAGAGTGACATAATAATATAGTACATTTCCCTCCTGCCCCCGGATGTGCTTCAGGAGCAGCCCGGCTCCCCTCAGAAGGAGGGAGTGAAAACTCGGTCCAAATCCACAGAGGAGATGCAGCCTGCCAAGAAGGTAACTGTACCAGCCAAAGTCCACTTAGGCCAAGATCTCACCATGCTTGGTGAGAGTCATAGGTAGTGTGTTGGCTGTCTGGAAGCAGGCATGTTTCACTGGGGGAGCTAATAAACCAAGAAGAAGCAGAACACCAGGTGAGGTTGTCTTGAGTTCAAGGGATGTGCAGAATCCACTGATTCAGTTGGCAAGGATGATACCCATTAACAAGCCCAGCAACTGGATTAACTGAGGCTACTAGATTACACCCTGTACTTAAGGTTTGCCATGGTCCATTTTCCTCTCTTTCAGTAATCCTGAATTAATTATCTCTTGATCCTGGATGACTAGGCCCTGTTTGCCAGGTCAGTGGGGTGATCAGCCCCTTTGGGCTACCTCTTTGTTTTTGCAGTGCTGTTCTGTGAGATGATTGGGGAACTTCAGGGCCAGGAGGGAGTCAGAAATCCCTGTGACCACTGACATCAGAGGCTGAAGTCTGTTACCTGAACAGAGCTGTTATCAGAACCTGAACCTTTCTTCTTTGGGGAGGAGAAAGACTCAAAAAGTGGAAAGGATCCAACCTTTACATTTAGCTTGATACCTTAAGATATTTGTGCCAGTAGGAATCTTCGGAAATTTTAGAGCCATTTTCACAAATGGGTGCCAGGGGAAGAATTTTCCCATTATAAAATGGCTGCCACAGTGGACTAGGCCAGTGAAAACAACCCATCCATTTCGTAAAAAGCCAGCCATCAAACTTTCTAGCTATCTGGTCTGCTTTCCACAAATCCATCTTAGCACTGTGTTCTTTCCACACAGGTAGAATCATAGTCTCAAACCTCAAAATGAGCTGCAATTGCTCACCATTTTCTTGTGGGTCTTACATGGGGATCAAGATACACACACACACACATAAATACGGTGCTTGAAAATAGTGCTTTGCTTTGCAGCATGCTTGCCTTCTTTTGCCTCCATTTCCAGTTAAAAAATCATTTGAAAAATTAAGTTGGGTGGGATAAATAGCTGTTACTAAGGGCAATGCCTATCAACACATTGATGTCCACAAGCATCTGGTTTATCAACCAAATTCAAAGTATTTTAAGATCCATGCCTGCCCAGTTAAAAGAATCAGTAGTAGGTGATGAATCTGCTTATGCTTGCTTGTTTATTAATTTATTCATTTAAAACTGGCAACTTTAAGACTTATGGACTTCAGCTCCCAGAATTCCTCAGCCAGCCATGTTGAGTCTTAAAGTTGCCAAGTTTGGAAACCCCTTATTTAATACATGTTTTTTTCCATACAAATCACACATCAGAAAAGTTTACAAGATGTCAGTTGGATGTTCAAAAATGCAGTCCAGAACATATTTTCAGAACAAAACTTCAATAGAAACTTCTCCAACTTTTCCCTCAATAGCATCCAAAACATGGCCTTGGAGAACATCAGGCTGGGGCTGGCAGGCAAAAGAAGACCCTATCCTAGTTATCCTGTATGGTTGGATGGGAAGGTATTGCACATATTCACATAGTCTCAGTCAAGGTTACTTGATTCAACTCAGGGTACTTGATTCTCATTACAGGCCTTCCATACTCCACAGAAGTCATTACCCAATCAGATGGATGGAGATGAGTCCAAGGTATGTCAATCATCAAATAATTAGAATCTGCTCATCTCCACTCTGCTGTAAGTCCATGTACCAAGGTTAACTTCTTTGCCTCTTCTATAATTCTCAGGCATCTATTCTATAATTGGCATATGATTCTGACAAAAATGCACATGTTTCAGCTTGGTTTTCAGCATCTAGATGAGCAATTTATCAGTATTTGGGATAGTCCTTAAGAAGACACGTTCGTGGATTCAAAGAATGTGGGAGGAGGAATCTGATAACTGTTAGGAGAGTTATGTTTCCGGTTTCCATGCTAGTAGACATTTGTGAAACCTACATAACAAAAAGCAGTATAAACAGTTAGCAGTGCAAACAGAAATAATGAATAAATTATTTATTAATTTTTAAACTTTTAAAAATTTAAAAATACATATTAAAAATAAATAAAATAAACAAACAAGCAGACTTGTCGGACCCTTATAGGATATAGGAAGGCGACTATAATGGTCTTATGGGGAGGATGGAAGAATCTAGATGAGCAAATTTTTGAGATGGTCTCAGGAGACCTGCCACCTTCTCTCTCCCTTCCCTTTCAGTAGAGATGTGGGTGGTAATGCCCAGGGAAGGATTTGGGTAAAACAATCCACCTAATCAAGTTTCTAGATGGTCTTCACTCTCCTTCTGTGTTATACAAATTCTCACATCAAGAAAACGTGTCTGAGATGATAATAAATGAAGGTACCTTAGCAACTGACACATTTTACTGTCACTTCAGTTTTTATTCAAAATATTCACTTTGTCAGGTGTTTGAGAGAGTGAGAAGTGGAGATTTCTGAATTGTTTTTCCTGCCTCTGAATCTGTCCCATTCTGCTGTGCTCCTCAGGGCTCCTGTTCTGCCCCACCATCTGATGCCTCTCAGCAAAAGCAGACCTGAGGAGCAGGAATTGCTTGGGTGCCTGTAACAAAATATGCAGTCGTGCCACTCTTTGGCTTTGCATTATTGCTCAAACTTCATGTCCGTGTGGATGTTATTGTGGGTCTGTCTATCCAGCTGTCAGTGTTTAATTGTTCTATCAGTGGAATGAGATCAAGGTAAATAAAGTTTGAACTTTTTTTATTTCCAGTTGTTGCAGACATGCAGGTGCTGCTTGCACGATGACAGCCTCTTGAGGTATAAGAGCAGAAATAGAGTCTAAATTTGTTCATATATTATATGCTGATGGATATCAGGAGTGTCTCTGCAAAGATGGCTATGGGATGACCAAATAGTGATTACAAGTGTATCTGGAGAGAAGGACCCTTCAGTTCCTCATAGTTAATGAATAATGTCTCACGACTTATTAATTCTAAGTTAGTTTTTCATTGAGAGAGACTCGACATCTAGAGACTACATGAGCTCATCTATCCATTATTGTCTTTTCCTTTTACTTCTCTCAGTTGTTTTTCCACTCTGCCCTTGCTCTCATTTCAGACTCAAAGTATGTGAGTCAGTGGTGGGTTTGAAATTTTTTTTACTACTGGTTCGGTGGGTGTGGCTAGGTGGGGGGCATGTGACTGAGTGGGCATGGCCTACTTGATGTCACTCACGCCCACACCCACTCAGTCACATGACCCCCCACCTAGCCACACCCACAGGAAAAGGTAGGAAAATTTTTGGAATTTCCACCTATCTACCCCTGCCCTCCCTTCACCAGTTGCCCCCATTTCCCCTCCTTTAGCAGCCCCGGCCCTAGCCCCACTTCCTCCCCCACCAGCACCTCTTTGTTCGGGCTGCATACCTTCTATGGTGGCTAGTCCAGAGTCTAGAAGGCAAGCTGACCGGAGTTTTTGGAGGTCCCCAGCCAGCTGCCGCTGCTGGAAAGTGGCTGGCAAGGAAGTCTCCCAGCTGTTGCCTCTTTGAGAGCCTTTTTGCGGCTGCAGTGGCTGGCTGCAGGCCGCCGAAAAGTACTGGAGGTCGCGGAAAAAGCTGCTGTGCATCCCATTGGACTTGCAAGGCAATGGGATGCGCATGCATGAAGAACATGGTGATGAAAATGGTGAGTGGGGCGAGCAGCGACTGGGGGACTGGTTCGGGGGCATGGCCAGCTGGCCATTGCTACTGGTTCGGTGACCTTGGCCAAATTTCCACCAACGGTTTGCGTGAACCAGTGCAAACCGGCTGAATACCACCTCTGATGTGAGTTTCTGCTTCTTAATCATTACATCAAGGGATCTTTATTTCATCCAGGATCCATTGATTGTTTCTTCTTAGTATCCACACTAACATCTACAAATCTGTAATTTGGAGACATCTCTCTTCCTCCTCTTGGTCATATCCATGAAGACGTTTTTATTTCATCAAGCCGGCCCAGCCTAAATGGTTTTTAATTGGGATTTTAAATTTTATGGATTTGGGGTTTTAAATTTGGGTAGCCAATGATTTAATTCTTTTAATTATCTTAACTTTTGCATTTGTATGTTTTTTAATTTTGGCTGTTCACCGCCCTGAGTCCCTTCTGGGAGAAGGGCGGTATACAAATTAAATTAATAAATAAATAAAATAAATAAATATCCACAGAGCTACTTTGGTAAGTTTCTCTCCAATCCTAAACCAGAATAAAAAGATGCTGCCCTGACTCTTGCGATGCACACAACACACCCTTAATGTTGTGCTACTCTCCTTACACCTTTAACATACATCTCTCTTCCTTCTCTTGGGTCACATTTATATTTTTTCTCTTCAGTTATACTCTCAACCAAGTAAACTTTTAAAAAGTCTTTGAAACCATGAATTAGCCATTTAACCTATCTATCATTAGATGGCATCATTATAAGGGATAATATTTTGGCTGCCATCAACTGGTCCTATGTGCAGTTGCTCAGTATGTGTTACTGGAGAACTGAAATGATATACTGAAGAACTGAAGAGTCAGCATGTTCATACTCCACTCAGTATCAAGGATGCAGCTGTAGAGGTGGTCAACAGTATTAAGTATTTGGAGGTGCAGATAACTAACAATCTGAACTGATCTCTTCACATGTCATCCTTAGTGAAGCATCTGCATTTCCTTTGTTGGATGAGGAGAGCACATATTTCTCCTTCTGTCCTGGCCAGTTTTTACAGAGGCACGATTGACAGCATTTGAACAAGCTGCATCACTGTCTGGTTTGGTGGAAGTAGTGCCTCAGATAGAAAGTCCATATAGAGAGTAGTAAGGACAGCCAAGAAGATTATAGGAAGCTCACTTCCAGCTTATAAGAGCTATATGCTGAGAGCTCAAAGCATTGTTAGAGACCCTACACACCCACTTTACGATCTGTTTCTGTTGCTCCCCTCTGTGAGGAGGTTTTGAAGTATTTCTAGCAGGACTACCAGATTCTATAACAGCTTTGTTCCCTATGCCATCCTTCTGGTAAATTCACAAGATTCATTTTTCTCGCCATGTACATATATACATCCGAACTAGACTATGTTGTTTCTCTGTGTCATATAATATATGTGGTTATATGCATAATTTTGTATTTATTTATTTTGTCATGTTTATGTAGTGTATATTGGAGGCATGATGCATACCTCCAATATACTTTCATTTTAATGTAAGCCGATTAGTGTACATTCAAAGTGACAATAAAGTTATTCTTAGTCTAAGTTTAAAAAATGGAGCTAGCTGTGGGGATCAGCATGGGAGGTGTAACAAACCATCCGCACCACCCAGGAACATGACCTAAGGAAGGGTGAGGAGGAAGGGTTCTTGGAAGCAGCAGCAGGGAAGAAAATTCTGGGCTGAGCAGGCTGCAGAAGTTATATCTCCAATTACATGCTTTAAACCAACATGAGGCTACTCAGTTTCAGGGCTTTGTACTCTTCAAGATGGACCAATCCATTTTTGAAAAGGCAAAAACGTGGCTATTGTGAAAGCCAGCCTTCTGGTCTTTCTGCCAGCCAATTGGATTGAAACCACAGCTTTACTGACAAATAACATCATTTCACACACATCAACATGGCCAGTGTTGTCACACAGTGTCTGGAGATGGGATTGCAGAGAAAATAGCATTTCCAGAGTAGTGGAATTCCTTGACATCCTTGGGCTATCTCCATGCAGGTGGATAATGAGATACAGACAGTGACTTTTGGACATGATAAGCGGGCAAGAAAGTTGTGTGGATTTACCCTTTCTCAATGTACAGCTTTCATGCTGTCCTGATCTTCTGTTATTCTCATTGTATTGAAATATCCTTACACTTTTTGTCTTATTGCCTGATTTCCTAGCATAAATTTTGTCTTGACTTTTACAGTACTCCGTCCATCTTAAAGGATTCGTGAACCTAAGAAGCAAAATTAGTCTATTGCTGTGACTTCTTCATTTAAACTGTAAGTTCACTAAGCCTCAGCCTTAAATTTCTTAAGATTTACTTTAACCCATGTTTATTTTCATAAAATGGTTTTCTAAATCTTATTTACTTACAGGCTAACCAAGTGGCATTGGCAGAATATCTCACGTTGTTTCTGGTTTGCCCTCCAGTGTTGATTCCTGTTGCCATCTTTATCAACCCTGTCCTTCTTTCAAGATACTTACTTTATAAGTTAAACAGATATTACCAGCCCAACCACCAGGTGTCATCAGCACATCAGATTTAATTGATGGCCCTAAAATGACCACCCCATTGTCTGTTTTCGATTTCGACCATAAAGGAGACAAAATGGCCTTTAAAGAAGTCCACAACAGATCTCAAGTACCAGACTTCTTCTGCCAGTACAGTACTGTCTCCCAGATCCACCAAATGCCATTGATTAGACACTTCATGGTATGAGGGATCCTTGGTGCTCTCTGAGCTTGCTTGTTTCCTTGCAGAGGTTTCATTACCCAATCTAGATAACATCATCAGTGCTTATAAGGAGTGCAGTTTCTTTATTAGCACTGATGAGGTCACCCTTCATGTCACCCCTGAGTTACAAATATTCTCCTTTATTGGTACGTCATGATATCTTGGGAGTTCTTTAAGTCCTAGGCCTAATTTGGAGACTACAAACCACACCACACTGCACTGTCCATCATGGCTAATGGCCAGGAAACCATCAACCTCCACCCTCATGCTCCACCCGAGCTACAATATTCGCCATCATCGCAAACCATGATGTTGCTGTTGCCATTTTCTGTGTCACCCCTTCTGTTGCCAAAGCCACAAATGCCAACGTATCCCTCAAGCTATCTCTTCTTCAGGGAAGAAATATAAATCAAGTTGTCTTCAGACCAGACTTGTTCCATGTTTGTTGACACACAGCTATTAGCACTTTAATTGTCTCTTTTCTTGTAGATTTAAGCAGTTCAGTGAGCATTTTATCTAAACCTGG